AGGCCGATGCCGTCGCGTGTACACATGCTTGTCATTCCTCCTGTCTAGTCTTCGTGTCAGTCAGACGCAGTGTGGGAAAATGCGGCTGTGCGCATGTTTTCATTCCTGACGCAGGCTAGCATGTTTCTCGACCGCGACTAAAAGCAGGGGGCAAAACGACTACAGGGGCGGATTTGCTGTTATTCCACGAAACTTACATACTAACCGCCGAGACCTAAAGACCGCCTCTGAATATGTTCTGTATTCGATTAATTGATCGCGTAGGTGACCATATTATACATAAGTGCCTCAGAATCATCCGTAATCGTCTAGGCAGAAAGGATTACTTTAGTGGGATTATGATAATCGCTAGCATTAAGAGAATTAGGTAATAGGCTAATTCCCAGAATTCTGTAATACGCGGTCGGTCGTAATAAGGGTTGTGGGGGTAGGGCAATACGAGAGCGCAGGAGAAAAAATAAAAGGAATATACTAAGCAAACACAGGAAATAGTAGATAAATTCATTATAAAAAGGTAATATTTTGCAAGGATAAAACGTGAGATTCTTTAAAAATAGAATAAAATAAATAAATTACCATCATCGTCAGTCACGTATGACAGATCTTTGGGGTTTTGGCTTTTCTGGTTAGCCTTATAATAGCCTTTTACCGAGAATCATTAGTTTCTTCATATAAGCTGACATCTCGGCTTTCAGTCCAAAATTCTTCCAACCACCTTTATCGATCATCTTCAAGGAAAAATCGCCACCCATTAATTCGGTTCTCTTCCCTTGGAAGGATACGAAAATTTATCATCTCGGGTTTTTTGTAGGTCGATGTTTTATATTGCACAGGTTCTTTCGTGTCGCTTTGGCCACAGTGGGTCTAGTTTCCCTGAACATTCCTCGTAGACAGCCTTAATGCTATATCGCACGAAGACTCCAGTGATCTACTCGAGAATTGTCCGGAACAGAAATTTTACAACATAGCATCCCTTTCCCTCAGGTGCCGCATTACAGAATGAGATTAAGAAGTGACATTTTTTGCTTTATTATATTTGTAACCAAAAGCAGTGAAAAAAGAATGTGGCCACTTGGTGAAGTTATTGTCCCGTCCAATGCTAAATGAAATGACTCAAATCCATAATTTCATCTAGACTATTAATAAAACTGTCCTTGGCCGCCTGCTAACCGGTAGTGCCGGCCTCATGGTAGATACACTAGACTAACACGGAGGCCAGCGGAGAAGATAGCTGGTGCTATTTGGATTGCGCTCCAATAACAAATGCCGGCAAAAGTAGCTTATGTAGGCCCACTCATACACCCCTAGTCCCAGCATTTTGTCCTGCAAAAACGGTGGTTGTGGAGTTTTGTGGGGTTGGGAAATAGAATAGGCGGAGAAGGAAATTTTCAGAAGTTAGTGGTAAGTGAAAAAATGTAGTTCAAGTTACTTCCCGCGGTCGCTGGGAGCAGGTTCTTCCGCATGTAAATTGAAGGTGTGCGCGGCGCTTCG